GGTTTCGTATTTTCCTACGAAACCTTTTTCTGCTGTACGGAACTTAAAAAAAGGTTTCGCAGCAAAAGGTTCTTATCCTCGGTACACGGTAAGAACCTTTAAAGGTTTCGTAGATTTTTTTATCCTTTTTTTGAGACTTTGGACATCTTTGGATGCTTTTAGACATCTCCGGAACCTTTTTTGGGGGTTCGGTAAGAAACCGATTTTTTTTAGAGTGTTCAAAGACTTCAAGAGTTGTATGGTGATATTTATCGATTAACTATTTTTAAACAGAGCCTTGTGGTAGTGTCTAGTCAAGAACTTATCAATTTTGTATGCGATGAATCAAAATTTGATAAAAAAATTGCTTCAGGTTTATTAGAACTACGAAATGCAGGTGGTGATGGTCTTTTCACGGCTCATACATCAGAACCCAATTGGAAACTTGCTCATAAAATTTTAATGCCTGCTTTTGGACCGCAAGCAATTCGAGATATGTTTTCTGGTATGATGGTATAGCTTTCCAATTGATTCTTCGATGGGAACGATTTCATGGTGAAGAAATTGATGTTTGTGATAATCTTACTCGATTAACATTGGATACCATTGCTTTATGCAGTTTTAATTATCGTTTTAATAGTTTTTATCATATTAAAATGCATCGTTTTGTTGAAGCAATGATTAATGTATTGATGGAAAGTGGTCGACGTTCTCAACGATTTTCTTTACAAAATACATTAATGGTAACAACAACACGTTGGTATAATAATGAAATAGCTTATCTTCATAATCTATGTGATGAAATTGTTAAAGAAAGACGAGAAAATCCTAATAATGTTAAAGATTTACTTAATCGTATGATTCATGGTAAAGATCCTGATAGTGGTTATCAATTATCTGATGAAAATATTCGTTATCAAATGTTAACATTTTTAGTTGCCGGTCATGAAACAACATCTGGTCTACTTTCATTTGCTTTATATTATCTACTTAAAAATCCACATACATTACAAAAAGCACAAGCAGAAGTTGATCAAACTGATGAAATTAAAGTTGATACATTAAGTAAATTAAAATATATTGATGCTATATTAAAAGAAACACTTCGATTACAACCAACAGCACCAGGATTTATTTTACAATCAAAAGAAGATCATGTCATTTTACCTGATGGATATGAAATTCAAAAAGATGATACTATTATAGTACTTTTACATAAATTACATCGTGATCCAAAAATATGGGATCGACCAGAAGAATTTATTCCTGAACGTATGTTAAATGCAGGATATGAAAATCTTCCACCCAATGCTTGGAAACCATTTGGTAATGGTCAACGTGCTTGTATTGGTCGATCATTTGCCTGGCAAGAAAGTCTTCTAACTATTGCACTTATTCTTAAACATTTTAATCTAGAATTTGTTGATCCATCTTATAATCTTCGTATTAAACAAACATTAACTATTAAACCTGAAGGTTTTAAAATACGTGTTCGATCACGACAACAAGTTAATATTATTTCATTGGAGAAAAATATTAAACAATTAGAGAAGATGCCAGAAAAACAATTGAATCAAAAAAATGAAACAAGAAATCTTCGACCAATGGCTATTCTTTTTGGAAGTAATTCTGGTTCATGTCAATCATTTGCAGAAACATTAGCATCTGAAGCACCTTTATATGGTTACAATGCAACGGTAGCTACTCTTGATTCTGCTTTTGGTTCTCTTCCTATTGATCAACCTATTATTATCATTACAGCATCATATGAAGGTAAACCATGTGACAATGCTAAACAATTCGTTGCTTATCTTGAATCGAAACCAACATTAGATATAAATTATGCTATATTTGGTGCTGGTCATCATGATTGGGTAAAAACTTATCAAAAAATTCCATTGTATATTGATCAATTATTAGAAAATGCTGGAGGTAAACGAATTATTGAACGTGGTGAAGGTGATGCTGGTGGAGATTTTTATGGTGCATTTGAAAATTGGAAAGAAAATCTTTTTCAAATTTTACGAAAAGATACTGGTGAAGAAAATATTATTAGTGAAGAAAAACTTTCAATTGAAATTGTTAATTCTAAAAGAAATTTTGGACAAATAACAATGGATATTGGTATTGTTCTTGAAAATAAAATTCTTGTTCAAGCAAATAATATTATACCAACAATAAAACATTTGGAAATTAAACTTCCAAAAGGACAAACTTATCATACTGGAGATTATCTTGCAATATTACCATCAAATCCAATTGAAATTGTTTATCGTGTTCTTAAAAGATTTAATTTAGCTACGGATACTCAAGTAAGAATTCTTTCATCGACAAGTACTTTTTTTCCAACGAATAATCCAACTAGTGCATTTGATATCTTAAGTGGTTATGTAGAATTATCACAACCAATTAGTAAAAAACAAGTCGAAATTCTTGCAACATTATGCAAAAATGAAAAAGAACAAAAACAACTTCATAATCTTAGTGGAAATCTATATGAAACTGAAGTTTTGAATAAACGTACTAGTATATTAGATATGCTTGAATTATATCCTTCATGTGAACTTTCATTTGCACAATATCTTCGAATGCTTCCATCACTTCGTGTTCGACAATATAGTATCTCTTCCACACCATTATGGAATTCTGAAGTCGTTACATTAACAGTTGATATACTGAATACTCCTTCATTAAGTGGATCAGGACAATATCTTGGTGTAGCATCAAATTATTTGGGAAATTTAAAAGAAGGTGATCGAATAAGTTGTACTATTCGAGCAAGTAATGCTAGATTTCATCCACCAGAAGATACAAAAATACCAATAGTGATGATTGCAGCTGGAACTGGTATTGCACCATTTCGTGGTTTTATTCAAGAACGAGCAGCACAATTAGTATGTGGAAGAAAAGTTGGGCCAACAATTCTTTATTATGGATGTCGATCTCAAGATGATAATTTATATTTTGATGAACTTGATCAATGGTCAAAACTTGGTGCTGTTAAATTACGAATTGTTTTCTCTCGTCAATCGAATAATGAGAAAAAATATGTTCAAGATTTGTTGTGGGAAGATCGAAATGAAATTAAAAATTTATTTTGTAATGGTGCACGTTTTTATACATGTGGAAGTGCAAAAAAAGTCGGTGCATCAGTAAAAACATGTTTTATTAAGATTATTCAAGATGTGAAACAATGTGATGAAGGGGAAGCAGCAAAGATTTTAGAAGAAATTTCTCAAGATCGATATAGTGTTGATGTTTTCACATGAAAGATTAACTTCTCCTATCTATATTTTGACTTTTGCTGTATACTATACGTGATCATTTATAATAAAAATTATATATCCTGAGGGTGAATGGAGCTACCATAATGTTAACATTTCACCTCTACAAAGAGGATCATCAGGTGGTTTAAATCTGCATAAATGAAAATTCAATTAAAATTAAATTCAAGGGTCTAACAGTCACTCAAATATTAATTTAAACAATTTTCGAAAACAGGAGATAGTTCAATATGCAGACTAGGTGTGTGTGTTAGAAAACAGAAAAGCGACGAGCATTTTCGATTTTTCGCAAGGATCTTATCAGGTAGCTTTAGCACACTGTGTTTAATCTGATAAATATTAAAAGCGAAAGATAATAATAAAATACGCCACAATTTGAAGAAAACTTAAATTATTTCTTTATGTTTTATGTTTACATATATTTCCTTATATTCACTCCTACTGGAAACTATTGTAAGTTTACCTATTAACAGCTTGATTCTGCTCTGTCCGATGGGATAGCCACTCTAGATAGCCACAAAGACCTTACGCAAATCTATCTTATTTTAGAAAAAGTTTAATTTTTATACCAATTTATATCGAGGAAATTTTCTCCCCGAAAGAAAAAAAAGGTACAGAAGAGTGTAATCACTAGCAGAAAGATAACTTTTATTATCATGTTTATGACTGGAAGGACGTCTACCACCACCAGGCAATACCTCCCACATAGTAAGTTAATATAATAAACACCAAATCTAGTGATTACAAAGGATCAAAGAAAAAAATATTGGACTCTTAGAAATTCTAACCTCAAAATATATTTTTGATGAGGTTTTTTTGTTACTTAGAAGAAGCCCACAAAAACCCAATGAAAAATGTTTTAAAGAAGGAAGGACAAAAGTCTGAGAGAAAAAAACTCTAACTAAAACATAAACATACCTGTTTCATAGATGAATCGAAAAAAATCATATTTGTAATCAATAATACATTTTAATAATAACAATAATAAAAAATGTAATATAAATTCATGATATAATAATTAATATGAAAATAAAATTAGCAGTAATATTAATACAAAAATGAAAACAATAATAATCATAAAAGTAATCCTATCAAACATAAACAAAAAAATAAAATAAAATAAAATAAGAACAAAATAAGAAGAATGATGCAAATGCTTACCTTAAGACGAATATTGATAAACTTAATAATAATCATAAGTATAATAGCATGTTAAATAAGTATAGTATCAAAATAATAAAACAAAGACCGATAATATTAATATTATTAATAATAATAAAAACTAAAATAAATAAAATATTATTAAAAAAAAATATATATATAAGAAAAAAACTTATCTTAATAGCTTGAATAAAAATATATTTAAAATAATAATACAATAACAATATATATATTCAAATCAATTCTAATATTAATGTATGTAAAATAAATATGATTCTAATATTTCTATTTAACAAAATAAAAAGTGAACTAATCCCAAAATATATATAAGCGTATTAATTATAATCTAAAGTATATAAAATTAATTAAGAATAACTGTAATTAGAATAAGAATATTAACGATAATTTCAACAACTAATTCATAAGCCTAAAAGAAAAATATATATCTAATATTCGTACTTACTTGTTGAAGAATATAATATAGAATGAAGATGAATAAAGAGAAGCATGCATATTTATAGCGCTATCCGACAGAATAATCTTTCGACTATGTGGGGGATTGGTACGCAAAAGGGAAACTATTCAAGCTAGTGAGAGAACTTATTGTTCTTTCCCACTCCTTTTTTATTGTTTTGCGCAATCACATATTTTCAAATTAAATAATTAACTTAATGCCATTCTTTTTTCGAAAATATATTCGGTCGACAGAACGCGACTAACTCTACAATTTCCTCACAAACTTCAAAGCTTTAGGATATTTCGTTCAAAAGTAAAATTTAAGGACAAAATTTGCTGTTGAGGGTGAGTTTCAAATAACGACCACAATCCAGATTTCATCCTAATTATAAGTATGAATCATCAGGCATTATGAAGAATGTGCATATAGAAATTTAAATCTAAACTTAACTTTAAAATGCATCCGAATGGATTGATCTTTTGTTCTTGCGATTATAGAGCTGAATTGGTAATTTTTTGTGTCAGTTGAATGAACAGCACGTGAACTAATGGTGTATCTTATAGTTGTGGTTATTTGGAGTTTGTCTCAATTTCTGAAGTGAATAAGCGGTTTGTTTGTACCTTACTCTGTATGTATAGAGTGATGAAATATTTAGAATAAGAAAAAAATATATTAAGTGGTCTCTCATTATATAATCTAAGCGAAGAGATCACTGGAGAATTTTGATAAACTAAAAGACGATTGTTTTCACTTCGAAAGAACAATTAAAAGGAACAGTAGTTGAGAAACTTGTGAAATGAAATAAGTATTTATTTTTTTTTGAAAACATGCACTAACGTCTATTTATTTTTTGGATTAATGCTTGTATTGAATCATGTTTCCAGTTTATGTTTTATGATAAAATTTGCACGTTCAATCATATGTAATCGACGGATCCCAATAGCATCGAATACCATCTTTTGCCATTCCGATGTTGATTCCATGAATCTGTTCTTCGATGAAAATTTATTCTGCTCGTTTTGTATGATTGTGTTGAAATTTTCTGCCAATTTATGACTAGTATAGATAGCCTGATGAATAATATCACTCTTCAAGGCTTGCAGTCTCTTGATTTCATTTGATAAGGAGCAAGTAATTGGAGATATTTCCATAATTTCATTTGATTTTTTAAGATTCTCGTCGATATTATCTATCATTTGATGGACTGAATTGGATGTTGATTGTGTTGATGTAAGACGACGATGTTCTAATAAAACAATATCTTCTTCGATCATCACTTGTTTCATTGTAGCTTGCCATATATGTCTTGCTGAAATGATCTAAAATTAATTCAAGTTGATGAAGACATGAAATGCAGTAAAATATATGATAGAATATCTTCTCATGTGTGATTTGTTCGGTTCGAGATTGAGGGTGGGTGCGGGTGTGGGTCTAGATCTCTTATTCATCCATACCCACACCCACACTCATAGTGACACCGACACCTCACACCCAATTTGATCATCATCAATGTTTATTTTAGTAAATAGAGTATACTTACTAGGTGTTGAGACTGTTTCGATTGCCGATAATCAATGGACGGAACTGGGTTGAAGTTCGATAATCCATAGAATAAGTTTCTAAGACTTCATTCAATCCATTCGAAAATCTCGTCTAACACCCATATGATCGTTAAGAAATCATGTTTATAGAACAGCAAGTCATCTCAACAAAATTTACGTTGATATTTATAAAACAACAGTTTAAAGTTATGTGTGAAAGAAGGAAGAAATAAAGGTATAATCTTAGACATTCATAAAGAATATAATATATCAATCTCATCAAAAATTAAAATTAAATCAAAATAAAATAATGTTCGTTGATAATGTGAGAATCGTGTATTGACGATCTTATTTCATATATAAAGTACCGTAAAATATTTAAAGACCGAAGATAACATTTTCACCGATATTTACACTCACACTTCATTGTATCTATGTGATTACGATCTTCATCAGCGAAGAAAATCTTGATAAAATTTAAAAATAACTCAAGATTCTTTCGATCGTTAGATATGATTATTTTTTATGAATAAAGTTCACAAATAATTTTTTTTCAATAATCAATATTTTTAAAACAAGCTACTAGCGTTTGTTTTTGCACACCATCGCGACGTTTTAAGATAGTCCAAAACGATTTTTAATGCTTCACTTGTTCCGATTCGTTCCAAGGCTAATAATGCATTACCATTCACATAACGATTTTGATCAAAATAAAGTGCATCTTTTAATACAAGTGTTGCTTCAGCTGCTTTAGCACCAATGTTAGCCAACGATAATGCTGCAGTAATTCTGGCATGAGATCTATTTACTGTATCCAATTGTTGATCTCGATCAAGAAGGATATGTATTAAACATCGGACTACTATGTCAACATCATTTTGGTTATTTGACTGAATAGTTCCCAATGCTTGACAACAGTATTTTTTAACTAACCATGAATCAGTAATTTCCAATACATGTACCAATAATGGCAATGTTTCAAGTGCTATTGATCCCATTTCAGAAAAGATAAATGCGATACAGTATGCTTGATCTTCATTTTTTTCCTCTTTTTTTAATACTGTTTGTAATTCATTAATCACGTTTTTGTTATATCGACAAGCCGTTAATGCATATGCCGCTTCGAGACGATAGATTTCTTTATTATTTGATAATTGTTCGATTAAGACATGATATTCATTACTTAATGCTAGATTATATGCTGCATTAAGGCGAGTTTCACTATCTTTGTTGTGTAACTGTATTTTCCAGTTAATGATATCTTGTTCAGTAGAAGATTGTTGTATCATCATTGTACCACCCATCATCCAGTTCCAAACATGTTTGACAATTGGTTGTAATAAACCTGCATCTGCAGCATCATAAACAGCATTTGTTGGATCATGATTCCACGTTGGTTTAGTCGGTTCTTCGAGTCTATTAAATTGAAATTTAAACATAAAACGATAAGAATCTTTTGTTCGATTGGCTGTTCCTTTATGAATAATATCATAATGAATTAATACTACAGTGCCAGCTGTACAAACCATACGAACATCATGTTGTTTGTCAGTTTTTATATCAACATCTTCGGGTGGTGTTTTGTTTCTATCATATACCCAATCTGCAGCATCATATTGTGATCGAGGTCTAATTGCAGTTGGACCCATCTCTAGAGGTACATCTTGAGGATAATACATGGCCATAACATAACGTAATTGATGATGACGAAGTGGCTTAGGATAAAGAAAATAAGAGTCTTTATGCCATGGTTGATCTTCCGTTCCAGGTTTTGTTAAATGAGGAAATCGATGTGGTTGCATAGTATATTTTGGACCCAATAAACT